AGGCGCCCGCCACCATGTCCGGCTGATTTTTTGTATTTTTCGTAGACAGGGTTTCACCGTGTTAGCCAGGATGGTCTCCATCTCCTGACCTCGTGATCTGCCCGCCTCGGCCTCCCAAAGTGCTGGGATTTCAGGCATGAACCACTGCGCCCGGCCCAATTTTTCTTTCTTTCTTTTTTTTTTTTTTTGAGACAGGGTCTTGTTCTGTCACCCTGGCTGGAGTGCAGTGGCATAATTTTGGCTTACTGCAACCTCCACCTTCCGTATTCAAGCGATCCGTCTACTTCAGCCTCTCGAGTAGCTGGGGCTACAGAGACTGGGTTTCACCATGTTGCCCAGGCTGGTCTTGAACTGCTGAGCTCAAGTGATCTGCCCATCTCAGCCTCCCAAAGTGCTGGGACTACAGGCATGAGCCACCACACTGGCATCGACTGGTAATTTTACAACAGAAGGAACCAGAGTCTGGGGAGGGGAAAAGGAAGAACCCGAGTATTTAAAAGCTTGAAAATGATAAGGTATACATATTTTGAAAAAGCTTTCTTTTTTTTTTTTTTAGACAGAGTCTCACTCTGTCATCCAGGCTGGAGTGGAGTGGCCTGATCTTGGCTCACTGCAACCTTCGCCTCCTAGGTTCAAGAGATTCTCCTGCCTCAGCCTCCCAAGTAGCTGGGATTATAAGCGCCCACCACCACACCCAGCTGATTTTTTGTATTTTTAGTAGAGACGGGGTTTCACTACGTTGGCCAGGCTGGTCTCGAACTCCTGACCACAACTGATCCACCTGCCTCAGCCTCCCAAAGTGCTGGGATTACAGGCGTGAGCCACCGCACCCGGCCTTGAAAAAGCTTTCCAATTTTCTTTTTCGAGACAGAGTGCCACTCTGTCATCCAGGCTGGAAGTGCAGTGGCACAGCTCACTGCAGCCTCGAACTGCTGGGCTTAAGAAATCCTCCAGTCTCAGCCTCCTGAGTAGGTGGGACTATAGGCGTGTGCCACCATGCCCAGTGGCTAATCTTTTAATTTTTTTTTTTTTTTTTGAGGCAGAGTCTCACTCTGTCGTCCAGGTTGGAGTGCAGTGGTGTGATCTCGGCTCACTGCAACCTCAGCCTTCCGGGTTCAAGCGATTGTCCTGCCCCAGCCTCCCAAGTAGCTGGGATTACAGGCACCTGCCACGACGTCCAGCTGATTTTTTATAGTTTTAGTAGAGATGGGGTTTCACCATGTTGGCCAGGCTGGTCTCGAACTCCTGACCTTGTGATCTGCCCATCTTGGCCTCCCAAAGTGCTGGGATTACAGGTGTGAGCCACCATACCCAGCCGCAATCTTTTAGTTTTTTTGTTGAGACAGGTCTGGCCATGTTACCTAGGCTGGTCTCAAACTTCTGGGTTCAAGTAATCCTCTTGCCTCAGCCTCCTAAAGTGCTGGGATTGTAGGCACAAGCCACTGTGCCCAGCCTGTTTTTTTTGTTTGTTTGTTTTTGAGAGGGAGTCTCACTCTATCTCCCAGGCTGGAGTACAGTGGCACGATCTCAGCTCACTGCAACCTCTGTCTCCCGGGTTCAAGTGATTCTCCTGCCTCAGCCTCCTGAGTAGCTGGGATTACAGGCACGCGCCACTACACCTGGCTAATTTTTGTATTTGTAGTAGGGGTTTCGCCTTGTTGGCCAGGCTGGTCTCCAACTTTTGACCTCAGGTGATCCTCCTGCCTTGGCCTCCCACAGTGCTGGGATTACAGGTGTTAGCCACCGTTCCCAACCAACCTGTTTAATTTTTAAAAGTATTATTGTCAAAACTACCATTTGTGGTAGGTATTATTTTCATTTAAATAAAGATAACATTTATACAACTTCACTATGCCAGGCCCTTTATCTGACCAAAACCACTTAAGTCTCACAGCAGGCCGGTGCGGTGACTCACTCCTGTAATCCCAGCACTTTGGGAGGCTGAGGCGGGTGGATCACCTGAATTCAAGAGTTTGAGACCAGCCTGGCCAATTAGCTGGGCATGGTGGTGCATGCCTGTAATCCTAGCTACTCAGGAGGCTGAGGCAGGAGAATTGTTTGAACCCAGGAGGCGGAGGTTGCAGTGAGCCAAGGTGGCAACACTGCACTCCAGCCTGGGCAACAGAGTGAGACCATGTCTCAAAAAACAAACCTCACAGCAGTACTCCTTTTACTGATGGGGAAATTGAGGCCCAGAAAAGCTGTGTAATTGGCCCAACTTCACAAAGCCTGTTAATGGTTGAGCTGGAGTTAGAACCCAGCCTGTCTGGCAGCAGAGACTGAGCTTTCAGCTGCCAAGCTCAACTGCCCCTCCCTGAGAGGCAATAGGTTCTTCTTCCTCTTTTTTTTTTTTTTTTTTTTTTTTTTTGAGACAGAGTATGGCGCTTGTTGCCCAGGCTGGAGTGCAATGGCAAGATCTCGGCTTACTGCAACTTCTGCCTCCGGGGTTCAAGCAATTCTACTGCCTCAGCCTCCTGAGCAGCTAGGATTACAGACGCCTGCTACCATGCCCAGCTAATTTTTTGTATTTTTAGTAGAGATGGGGTTTCGCCATGTTGGCAAGGCTAGTCTCGAACTCCTGGCCTCAGGTAATCCACCCACCTCGGCCTTCCAAAGTGCTGGGATTACAGGCCTGAGCCATTGCGCCTGGCCTGGTTCTTAAATATATTTAGTCTGTCTGCCCCAGTTACCTAAGGCTCTGACCTCTTCCCTCTCCCCACAGCAAACCCCAGGGCAGTTTGCACCGTGCCCCCCTCAGCATTGTGGCTGACAGTCTTCTGTATTCTCTTCCCCACTTTCAGGATCATGGCGGTACAGGAAGGGATGGCTGGATAGTAGACTATATCCACATCTTCGGGCAAGGACAGAGATACCTCAACAGGAGAAATTGGGCAGGGACAGGCAAGTGCTGCCTCCATTTCCAGCCTCATCATGGTTCCTGGGCCATAGCGAGGCCTGGTTGAGGGGAAGAGGCTAAGGGACTGCATCCTTCCAGGTTTTCTTCACATGCACGAGCATATGGTGCCACAGTACTCCCTAATATTAGTTAATAAGCCCCAGTACTGTATGTCAGGCCCCGGTTTTTTTTTTTTTTTTTTTTTTTTGAGACATGGTCTCAGTCTGTCACCCAAACTGGATTGCATGAAATGCAGTAGCACAGATGTGTGTGGTGGCTCATGCCTGTAATCCCAGCACTTTGGGAGGCCGAGGTGGGTGGATCACTTGAGGTCAGGAGTTCCAAACCAGCCTGGCCAACCTGGTTAAACCCTGTCTCTACTAAAAATACACAAACACAATTAGCCGGGCATGGTGGCTCACACCTGGAATCCCAGCTACTTGGGAGGCTAAGGCAGGAGAATTGCTTGAACCCAGGAGGTGGAGGTTGCAGTGAGCCAAGATCATGCCACTGCACACCAGCCTGGGTGACACAGCGAGACTCCATTTAAAAAAAAAAAAAAAAAGAAATGCAGTAGCACAATTACTACTGACTGCAGCCTTGACCTCCTGGGCTTGAGCAATCCTCCCACCTCAGCCTTCTGAGCAGCTGCGCCCACAGGTGTGCACCACCACACTCAGTTAATTTTTTATTTTTTGTAGAGATGGAGTCTCCCCATGTGGCCCAGGCTGGTCTTGAACTCCTAGGCTCAAGTGATCCTCTGGCCTCAGCCTCCCAAAGTGCTGGCATTACAGACATGAGCCATTTGTTAGGCACTTTTCACCCTCACACTAACCCCACAGCACAGGTAGGGAAACAAGTTTCTTTAGTTAAAGTAATTTGGCAAGAGGGCTGAGCTGGAATTAATATTCTGCTCTTCCTGGGCCTGGTACAGTGGCTCATGATCATGCCTGTAATCCCAGCACTTAGGGAGGCTGAGGCAGGAGGATCATGAGGTCAAGAGTTCAAGACCAGCCTGGCCAACATAGTGAAACCCCGTCTCTATTAAAAATACAAAAAATTAGCCAGGCATGTTGGCGGGCACCTATAATCCCAGCTACTCAAGAGGCTGATGCAGGATAATCTCTTGAATCCAGGAGGCAGAGGTTGCAGTGATCCAAGATTGCATCATTGCACTCCAGCCTAGGCGACAGTGCGAGACTCCGTCTCAAAAACAAATGAACAAAAAGATTCCGCTCTTCCCAACTCTGAAGCCCCTGTTCCCCTCACTGCTGCATCCTGCTCATTTTCCAGGCCCAGGTTAGCAACAATGGGAAAGAGTTGAGAGACATTTTTCTTTTTTTTGAGACCAAGTTTTGCTCTGTTGCCCAGGCTGGAGTGCAGTGGCACGATCTTGGCTCACTGCAAGCTCTGCCTCTCAGGTTCACACCATTCTCCTGCCTCAACCTCCCAGGTAGCTGGGACTACAGGCGCCCGCCACCACGCCCGGCTAATTTTTTGTATTTTTAGTACAGACGGGGTTTCACTGTGTTAGCCAGGATGGTCTCAAGCTCCTGACCTCATGATCCACCCGCCTCGGCCTCCTAAAGTGCTGGGATTACAGGCATGAGCCACCGTGCCCGGCCGAGATATTTTTCTAACAGGGTAAAACCCTCCTCCCAGCCCAGCTCCACCATCCTGGGTCACTTCTCTAGTCACATGATACTTTGTGCCATTTGGTCCAATTGATCTTGATCTCATCCATTTTTTCCACATGGGTCAGAGGCAAGGGTGAGATTTTTCTCATTTCTTGTGGGAGAAAACCAAGCTTTGCCAAACCCAGAATTTCTGGCCCTTCCTGTCCCAGCACAAACCATTCACAGTTTTCCTGCAATTATTCCTGGTGCGGGGTTTTATTTCTAGGAAGCCTTCTGTCCCTCAGCCTCACCAGCCCTTGGCTTTTCAGCCCAGAGGCTCGGGGAATTTGAGAATTGCATGTTCAGCTGTGGGCATGGGGAATGCAAGTGACTATGCCTGGTTGGCATCTCATACCACACCCAGGGGAATGGGGAAGCCAAGAGGTGGGCTGAATGCAGGCTCAGGCCTCTCTCTCCTTGCCCCCAAGGGCATTCTCTCCAGCAGGTGACTGGGCACGACCACTACAATGCTGATCTGAAACCAATCTATGGGTTCAATGGAAGGTTTGGCTATCGCCGGAATACTCCAGCCCTCCGTCGGAGCACGTCCGTCTTTGGAGAGGTCACCCACTTCCCTCTGTTCTAACAGCATCTTTTCCCTTCCTAGCCATCGACCTGAATGTCTAAGACAAATGTTTAGATGAACTCTTAATGTTATTTTACATTAAAAAATTTAATTTGTGTCTCCACGTGTGCTGTTTCTTCCCTGAGATTAGAGGAATGAGCCAGTTCTACCCTTGGCTTCTCTTCCCCCTGGAGAGGAGGTGAGAGGAGAAAGGGCTTCTCAGGCCTACACCCTTGTACTCCATACCAACGAGTGCCAGGTTTGAAAGGAGGGGCTTCAGTTCTCCCCTACCAGTGGGACAAGAAGGAGCCACACTACTCAACCTCAATAAAGCACTTCCCCAGCTGTCAGCAGAGCCCCAGGTCAGAGCTGGCTATTGTTTCCATCAAGAACAGAGCAAAGGCCAAGCTCCTTGGCTTACGCCTGTAATCCCAGCACTCTGGGAGGCCAAGATGGGAGGATTGCTTGAGCTCAGGCAAGTGGATCACTTGAGACCAGCCTGGGCAACATGATGAAACACTGTCTTTACTAAACATATACGTGTGTGTGTGTATATGTGTGTGTATGTTTATGTATATATATGTGTATAGATATGCATATATATATAGAGAGAGAGAGAGAGAGAAGGAGAGAGAGAGACTCATTCTGTTAGCCCAGGCTGGAGTGCAGTGGTGTGATCTCAGCTCATTGCAACCTCTGCCTCCAGGGATTCAAGCAATTCTCCTGACTCAACCTCCCTAGTAGCTAGAATTACAAGTGCCTGCCACCACTCCCAGCTAGTTATTTCATATTTAGTGGGAGCGTGGTTTCACCGTTTTGGTCAGACTAGTCTTGAACTCCTGACCTCACCTCGGCCTCCCTGAGTGCTGGGATTATAGGCGTGAGCCACCCTCCTGGCCCAGGATGTCATTTTTCAAGTGTTCCCTTTCAATTTATTGGTGGCCAATGGAAAAGCCAAACCAGACGATGGATAATTAAGAAGGTGGGGCTTTAGAACACAAAACTTGCCAGAACTCATGTGGGTGGAACTTGATTGTATTGAGTCACCATAAGTGGACAGGGAAGGAACCTGTAATGGACAGAGGGGGTACGGCTCAAGGGTAGAGCATTTGACTGCAGATCAAGAGGTCCATGGTTCGAATCCAGGTGCCCCCTTCTGTGATGTTTTCTCACTACCATTCCATTTAACAGCAAATACCGTCAGCCACAATATCACCAGAAAAGATGAAGGAACTTTCAACTTGATCTTGTGGTAAAACTGTTCCTCCCACATTCCAGCTCACCTTTAGGACAACAAGCCCCTCTAGGACCTCATTTGTCTTCAATTAAGACCAAGTCCCTGAGGAGATTCTAAATCTATGAGTGAGTCTGAGAGCTGTGAATACAATTTGCTAATTGGATGGGTGTTGGAGTATAGATGGAAATGTATGTATTTTTGAAAACTTAGTACATGCCAAGCTGCCTCGAATTAAAACATGAAAGAAGGGCCATGGCCAGGCGCGGTGGCTCACGTCTATAATCCCAGAGCTTTGGGAAGCTGAGGCGGGCAAACCACAGGTCAGGAGTTTGAGAGCAGCCTGGCCAACATGGTGAAACCTCCATCTCTACTAAAAATACAAAAAATTAGCTGGGTGTGGTGGTGCACACCTGTAATCCTAGCTACTTGGGAGGCTGAGGCAGGATAATCGCTTGAACCTGGGAGGCTGTGGTTGCAGTCAGCCGAGACCGCACCACAGCACTCCAGCCTGAGCAACAGAGCGAGACTCTGTCTAAAAAAAAAAAAGTTCGAGACCAGCCTAACCAATATGGTGAAACCCTGTCTCTACTAAAGATACAAAAAATTAGCTGGGCGTGGTGGCGCACGCCTGTAATCCCAGCTACTTGAGAGGCTGAGGCAGGAGAATTGCTTGAACCTGGGAGGCGGAGGTTGCAGTGAGCTGAGATCGTGCCGTTGCACTCCAGCCTGGGTGACAGAGCCAGAATCCGTCTCAAAAAATAAAAAAGAAAAAGAAAAAGGGAGAGAAAGAAAGAAAAGAAGGAAGGCCGAGCGCAGTGGCTCACGCCTGTAATCCAAGCACTTTGGGAGGCAGAGGCGGGCGGATTACGAGGTCAGGAGATCGAGACCATCCTGGCTAACATGGTGAAACCCCATCTTTACTAAAAATACAAAAAAATTAGCCAAGTGTGGTGGCAGGCACCTGTAGTCCCAGCTACTCGGGAGGTTGAGGCAGGAGAATGGCGTGAACCCAGGAGGTGGAGCTTGCAGTGAGCCGAGATTGTGCCACTGCACTCGAGTCTGGGCGACAGAGCGAGACTCCGTCTCAAAAAAATAGAAAAGAAGGAAAAAAGGAAGGAAGGAAAGCAAGAAAGAAAGAGCAAGAAAAGAAGGAAAGAAGGAAGGAAAGAGAGAGAAAAGGAGAGAAAGAAGGAAGGAAAGAAAAAGAAAAGAAGGAAAGAAGGAAGGAAGGAAAGAAAGAAGGAAGAAAGGAAAGAAAGAAGGGAGGAAAGAAAGGAGGGAAGAAAGAGAAAAGGAAAGAAGGAGGAAGGAAAGAAGAGATAAAGCAGGAAAGAAGGAGGAAGGAAAGAAAAGAGAGAAAGAAGGAAAGAAGGAAGGAAAGAAAATAAAAAGAGAGAAGGAAACAAAGAAGGAAGGAAAGAAAGACAAAGAAAGACAAGGAAGGAAGGAAAGAAACAGAGGAAAGGAGGCTGGGCGCTGTGGCTCACGCCTGTAATACCAGCACTTTTGGAGGCCGAGGTGGGCGGATCATGGGTCAGGAGATGGAGACCCTCCTGGTTAACACGGTGAAACCCCGCCTCTACTAAAAATACAAAAAAATTAGCCAGGCGTGGTGGTGGGCACTTGTAGTCCCAGCTACTAGGGAGGCTGAGGCAGGAGAATGGGGTGAACCCGGGAGGTGGAGCTTGCAGTGAGCCGAGATTGTGTCACTGCACTCCAGCCTGGGCGACAGAGCGAGACTCCGTCTGGAAAAAAAAAAAAAAAAAAAAGAGAAAAGGAAAGCGGAGGTTGCAGTGAGCCAAGATCATGCCATTGCACTCCCAGTGAGGCTCTGTCTCAAAAAAAAAAAAAAAAGAGAGAGAGAGAAGGAAGGAAGGAAGGAAGGAAGGAAGAGAAGGTAGGAAAAAGAAAAGAAGGAAGGAAGGAAAGAAAGAAAGAAGGAAAGAAAGAAAGAGGAAGGAAGAGAGGGAGGGAGGGAAGAAAGGGCTGACTGCGGTGGCTCACACATGTAATTCCAGCACTTTGGGAGGACAAGGCGGGAGGATCACCTGAGGTCAGGAGCTGGAGACCAGCTTGGCCAACATGGTGAAACCTGTCTCTACTAAAAATACGAAAATTAGCCGGGCATGGTGGCATGCACCTGTAATTCCGGCTACTTGGGAGGCTGAGGCACCAGAATCGCTTGAATCTGGGAGGCGGAGGTTGTGTTAGCCAAGATTGCACCACTGAACTCCAGCCTGGGCAAAAAGAGTGAGACACTCACTCTTAAAAAAAAAGAAAAAAAAAGAAAAAGAATTGCTTATTGCTTAAATGTAAGGGGCACATGTCACATTCTGGGTGGTGTACTTCAGCTTTACACTTTACATCTTTTTTTTTTTTTTTTTTTTTTTTTTTTTTTTTTGAGAGAGAGGGTCTCACTCTGCCACCCAGGCTGCAGTGTAGTAGCACGATCACGGCTCCCTGTAGCCTGAAACTCATGGATTCAAGCAATCCTCCTGCCTCAGCCTCCCCAGCAACTGGGACTACAGGCATGTGCCACTACGCCTGGCTAATTTTTTGTTTGTTTGTTTGTTTGTTTGTTTGTTTTTTTGCGACGGAGTCTCGCTCTGTCGCCCAGGCTGGAGTGCAGTGGCCGGATCTCAGCTCACTGCAAGCTCCGCCTCCCGGGTTTACGCCATTCTCCTGTCTCAGCCTCCCGAGTAGCTGGGACTACAGGCACTCGCCACCTTGCCCGGCTAGTTTTTTGTATTTTTTAGTAGAGACGGGGTTTCACCGGGTTAGCCAGGATGGTCTTGATCTCCTGACCTCGTGATCCGCCCGTCTCAGCCTCCCAAAGTGCTGGGATTACAGGCTTGAGCCACCGCCCCCAGCATGTTTTTGTTTTTTTAAACATAAGTAGAGAGGAGGTCTTGCTATATTGCTCAGGCTGGTCTCCAACTCTTGGGCTCAAGTGATTCTCCCACCTTAGCCCCTGAAAGTGCTGGGACTACAAGTGTGAGCACCATGCCCAGCTTCACATCTTGCGTCTGTTTGTCCCAAGTGTGGAATGGGTACTGCAGACATTTGCAATTTAACTGGTGATAGACAAAAACACCGAATCACAGAGTGAAAAAATTATTCCCTTTCCTATCCTCAGTAACTTAAGAAAAAAGTCGTTTAAAAAATTTTTTTAAAGACATGGAGTCTCACTCTGTCACCCAGGCTGAACTACAGTGGCACAATCACGGCTCACTGTAGCTTCCATCTCCTGGACTCAAGTGATCCTCCTGCCTCAACCTTCCAAGTAGCTGGGATTATAGGTCTGTGCCACCATGCCCAGCACTATACACTCTTTGAATAAAAAAGAGGGAGATTGGCCAGGCGCGGTGGCTCACGCCTGTAATCCTAGCACTTTGTATTTAGAAGATTTTAGAAGTGTTAGAGAGCTGGCACCAAATAAGAATTCCTCCTGTCAGGCACGGTGGCGGCTCCAGCCTGTAATCCCAGCTCCTCTGGAGCCTGAAGTGGGAGCATCACTTGACTCTAGGAATCAAGATCAGCTTAACCAATATATTTAGACCCTGACCAACATAGAGACCCATTTCAAGAAAAATAAAATGTATCTAGTGTTTAATAATGTCATATTTAGGCTGGGTGCGGTGGCTCACGCCTGTAATCCCAGCACTTTTGGAGGCCAAGGCGGGCGGATCACGAGGTCAGAAAATTGAGACCATCTTGGCCAACATGGTGAAACCCCATCACTACAAAAAAACATAAAAAATTAGCTGGATGTGGGGGCGCGTGCCTGTAATCCCAGCTACTTGGGAGGCTGAGCCAGGGGAATCGCTTGAATCTGGGAGGTAGAGGTTGCAGTGAGCTGAGATCGTGCCTGACATAAGGGGATTTGCTGTGAGTCAAGGTCTGAGGAAAGCGCCAGTTCGCAAAGCCGTTTTGGAAAACTGGAGTGTGGGGGTATGTGCAGGGTGAGGGGAGGAGGCGTACTCTGGTCCACGCTACGTCTAGCAGCGAGTATGTGGAGCTTTTGAGCCGGATGCCCTGGTGCGCTGCCATGGCAACACAGCCGCGTGCAGAGGCCCACGGCAACCCATCACTGAACAGAGCTGTGGCGTTTCAACGGAGAGTTTGGGACATCAGGCAAAGTGGCGACCAGAAGCAGCCAAAATGAGACCTCGACGGCAGAGCTCTCCACAGCGAAGCCTGGAACTTTGCGAAATCTGCACGTGACGCCACAGTCACACAGCGCGACAGAGCCCTCTACGTCATCGTTCCGCGACGCCGACGCGGTGAGATGACGCCCTCCCGGAAGTGGCCTCTAGGTCGGTATGTGAAACTGGCAGTCGACGGCTCCTGGGACCAGAGCTCGCGAGGTAGCCCCTGGACTATCTTTCTACGTATTCTCTTGATCCTGCCGACGTCTTCCAGATCCGCGTAGTGAGGAATCGTCTCCACCATCATGGGAGGCGGAGACCTGGTGAGTGGAGGGAGGCCTGGGCGGGGGAGGACTGAGGCCGGGACGGAAATTGGCAGGGGGTGGGAGGTGGGGGTAGAGGAAGTAGTGGATAACCATAGCAACTCAGCTTTGCTTTCGCGGGGAGGGGGCGGTTGCCCTGAAGAGGGGATGGATCTTTAGGGCAATGGAGGGATGGGACTGAGGTTTGGGAAAGTCCGAGGTGTGTCGCGAACAGTGACAGGTGGTGTTTGTGTGTTTGTTGACTGCAGCCCTACCGGCTGTAAATTCTGGGAATACCAGGGAGGGGGCGGATGGAGCCAAGGCCAGGAAAGGAGGTAGATATTGAGGACGTGTCACTACGCTTTGTTTTGTATATCTTGTCTTGCCACACACCTGTCTTCCTTGGGTGGGAGTTCAGAGTCATGTCCTGGACGGAAGTAGGGGTGGTTTGTGCCCCATTCACCCTACCCTTGGCCATGCCCTGGGGTCCTTTTTTTTAAAAAACGGAGTTTCTTGTTGCCCAGGCTGGAGTGCAGTGGCGCGATCTCGGCTCACCGCAACCTTCCCCTCTTGGATTCAAGCGAGTCTCCTGCCTCAGCCTCCCGAGTAGCTGGGATTACAGGCATGCTCCGCCACACCGGGCTAATTTTGTATGTTTAGTGGAGACAGGGTTTCTCCATGTTGGTCAGGCTGGTCTTGATCTCCCGACCTCTAGTGATCCACCCACCTTGGCCTCCCAAAGTGCTGGGATTACAGGCGTGAGCCACTGTGCTGGGCCCTGGGGTCCTTTTTAAGCCTGAAGGGATCTTCCTGTCCATCTTTCTGACTTCCACACCTCCTTCAATGCTGGATTCTGATGTGTAGTGGCTGAGCTTGCTTTTTAAATTCATACCACTTAATACAAGTTATGTGGCAATGTCTCTTACACTGAAACGTTCATTTGTAAAGGGCTAAGACCCCAAATAGGGTAAATTTACCTACAAGAGCATGGTGCAAGGTTGCGAAAATGCCAGCCTCCTGAAAGTGGAACTAATTGAACCAGCAAGTAGATCAGCTTAGCGGCCTGCCCAGTAAACCTGTTAGTTTGTCATGTGTTCTCAATCACAGTGAGTGCCAGGACTCCATCCAGTTTGATCCAATTTAGTGTATTCTTCAGGTAACTGCATTTAAGGACAGGAAAGCTCTAATCTAGGGTTTCTCGACGTTAGCCCTCTTGACAGTTTGGCCTAGATAATTCTTTGGGGGGGTGTGGTAGTGGTGGTAGTTGGGCTCTCCTGTGCATTGTAGAATGTTTAGCAGCATCCCTGGCCTCTAGCCACTCGACTGGAGTCTATCCACTAACACCTGCCTCCACCAGTTGTGACAGCCAAAAATGACTCTAGAAGTTTTTGTCCTTGAGAAGCAAAATAATCTATACTTGAGGCAGGGAGGACAAGATGGGAAGGGTTAGAGGGAGAAAGAGGGAGGGAGTGAGGGAGGAAGGACAGAAGGATGGATGGATGTTCGGACCAACTGATGGACCGATACACAACCGACCAACTCAATGACCTGACAAAGGGGAGAGGCAGGACAAGGAGGGGAAGAGAAAAGGAAGAAAAGGGAACTCTCATTGACTGAACATTTTCCACATGCCAAGTACCTTGCGGACATGATCTTATTTTCTTAACTGGTCTCCTGGTCTCAATCCTGGCCCTCTCCAGTCCATTCTTTTTTTTTTTAAGATGGAGTCTTGGCCAGGTGCAGTGGCTCATGCCTATAATCCCAGCACTTTGGGAGGCTGAGGCGGGTGGGTCACGAGGTCAGGAGTTCAAGACCAGCCTGGCCAAGATGGTGAAACCCTGTCTCTACTAAAAATACAAAAATTAGCTGGGAGTGGTGGCGGGTGCCTGTAATCCCAGCTACTTGGGAGGCTGAGGCAGGAGAATCGCTTGAACCCAGGAGGTGGAGGTTGTAGTGAGCCGAGATTGCACTACTGCACCTCTAGCCTGGGTGACAGAGTAAGACTCCGTTTAAAAAAAAAAAAAAAGTTAAAAAAAAGATGGAGTCACACTGGGCGCGGTGGCTCACGGCTGTAATCCCAGCACTTTAGGAGGCCTAGGCGGGCGGATCCTGAGGTCAGGAGATCAAGACCATCCTGGCCAACATGGTGAAACCCCATCTCTAGTAAAAATATAAAAATTGGCCAGGCACGGTGTCTCACGCCCGTAATCCCAGCACTTTGGGAGGCCGAGGCAGGTGGATTACGAGGTCACGAGGTCACAAGGTTGAGACCATCCTGGCTAACACGGTGAAACCCGTCTCTACTAAAAACACACAAAAAATTAGCCGGTCATGGTGGCGTATGCCTGTAGTCCCAGCTACTCAGGAGGCTGAGGCAGGAGAATGGCGTGAACCTGGGGGTTGGAGCTTGCAGTGAGCTGAGAGTGTGCCTCTGCACTCTAGCCTAGGTGACAGAGTGAGACTCCATCTAAAAAAAAAAAAAAAAAAAATTGGCCAGGCATGCGGTGCATGCCTGTAATCCCTTTACATGGCTTATAAGGCCCTTATTCTGCTCCTTTTGCTCCTTTCTCACTTGGCTGCTTCTTATGTCCCTGCCCCATCAGCTTGCCACATCTCCAGCCACACTGAATTATTCCTGCTATGTTCTTTCTTACCACTGGAACTGCATTTGTCTGTACTGTTCCTCTCTGGAAATCTGCCCCCATCATCTCCCTTTCACACATCACCAGGCTAGTTTATAATTGTCCTTAGATATTACTTACTCTGGGAAACTTTTCATTATTGGGAAAGTGCACCAAAGTAATATCTGATGGGGAGGAGAGAGAGAAGTGTTCTTTGAGGGTGAATGGGGAGATCAGAATCAAGGAGAGATTCCTGGGAAGGAAAGTTGGAAGAGATTCTGGGTGGGTTGTAAACCATGCAAGTTTAGGGCAGGTGAAGTAGACCAATGTAAGGTAGGTTGAGTTCCTAAGAATGAATGTCCATTGTCCATGCCAGGCACGGTAGCTCATGCCTGTAATCTCAGCACTTTGGGAGGCTGAGGCAGGCGGATCACCTGAGGTCGACAGTTTGAGACCAGCCTGACCAACATGGAGAAACCCCATCTCTACTAAAAATACAAAATTAGCCGAGCATGGTGGCTCGTGCCTGTAATCAGCTACTCAGGAGGCTGAGGCAGAGAATCACTTGAACCCAAGAGGCAGAGGTTGCCATGACCTGAGATCCTGCCATTGTACTCTAGCCTAGGCAATAAGAGCGAAACTCTGTCTCAAGAAAAAAAAAAAAAAAGGGCTGGGCACGGTGGCTCACTCCTGTAATCCTAGCAGTTTGGGAGGCCAAGGCAGGCAGATCATGAGGTCAGGCATTTTGAGACCAGCCTGGCCAATATGGTGAAACCCCATCTCTACTAAAAAATACAAAAATTAGTCAGGCATGGTGGCATGCCTATAGTCCCAGCTACTTGGGAGGCTGAGGCAAGAGAATCACTGGAACCCGGGAGGTGGAGGGTGCAGTCAGCCGAGATCACTGCACTCCAGCCTGGGTGACAGAGCGAGACTCTAAAAGAATGAATATCCAGTGTCAGAAGTGCATGAGTTCTGTTCTCTTTCAAAATATGTGCCTTCCTGCTCATTACTGCATTCCTCCTGTCTTATCATCACCAGCTCCAATTTAGGTATGGCTAGTGGAAGAATGACTTGTATGCTTTTAAGGGTAAAACTGTCTGAAGGGAACTCAAGAAGGACCTGTTCTATCCTGAAGCTTTCTTGTTGTTGTTGTTCTTGTTGTTTTGAGACGGAGTCTTGCTCTATCGCCCAGGCTGTAGTACAGCGGCGCAATCTCAGCCCACTGCAACCCCTCCTGCCTCAGCCTCCTGAATAGCTGGGACTACATGCGCACGGGCCACCACGCCCAGCTAATTTTTGTATTTCCAGTAGAGACGTTTCATCATTTTGGCCAGGCTGGTCTAAAACTCCTGATCTCAAGTGATCTGCCCGCCTCCGCTTCCCAAAGTGCTGGTATTACAGGTGTGAGCCACTGCACCCGACCTGTCCTGAAGCTTTATACACTTGAACAACCTCCCCTTCCCCTCTAGATGTCTGAGAGATTATTGGAAGAAAACCTTGTCATTGTTGAAGACATCTTGCCTGCCTTGGGTATGGAAGGGTGGGTGAGGCAAGGCTAGTTACACCCGCCACTCAGTCACCCCCCGAATTATTCTCACCTTCTTTTTTGTTTTGTTTTGTTTTGTTTTTGAGACGGAGTCTTGCTTTGTCGCCCAGGCTGGAGTGCAGTGGCGCAATCTCGGCTCACTGCAAGCTCTGCCTCCTGGGTTCACGCCATTCTCCTGCCTCAGCCTCCCGAGTAGCTGGCACTACAGGCGCCCGCCACCACGCCCGGCTAATTTTTTGTATTTTTTAGTAGAGACAGGGTTTCGCTGGGTTAGCCAGGATGGTCTCAATCTCCTGACCTCGTGATCCGCCCGTCTCGGCCTCCCAAAGTGCTGGGATTACAGGCTTGAGCCACTGCGCCTGGCCTCTCACCTTCTTTTTATTTATCACAGAATCTGAAGAAGAGCTGGCACCCGCAGACCCTCCGGAATGTGGAGAAAGTGTGGAAGGCCGAGCAGAAGCATGAGGCTGAGCGGAAGAAGATTGAGGAGCTTCAGCGGGAGCTGCGAGAAGAGAGGGCCCGGGAAGAGATGCAGCGTTATGCCGAGGATGTTGGGGCCGTCAAGTAAGTGAGGAACTGGGGGTGTCCTGGTGTGTAGGGAATTGCAGAGCTGTCCTGAGATGCATCATCCAGTTGTTGTATAATAGCTGAGTGCTTAAGGGCGTGGGTTTTAAAGCCAGACTAACCTGGATTCTAAGGTTGGCTTTGCATGTACTAGCTGTGGAACTGTGATCAAATTTGAGAGACTTGGTTACTTCAGTAGGACCAGGGAGCGATAATACCCAACGCCTTCTTAAGGTTTGTTGGGAGTCAAATGAGGTAACACGTAAGGACTTGCTGTAAGCTGAGCTCACGGTAGATGGCTGATAACAGTGATGAGGGATGGTTGCTCTACCCTGCTGCTCAGTATGTGTTAAGGCCGCAGTCCTGCCTTTGTTAATGTAGTTCAGGCTTGCTTGGGGGTGGCGGGACAGGGGGCAGGGAGTGAGGTCCCATGAGAGAAGGTGGATGGTATGCTTGTCAGTAAAAGCCGAGTGATTATGGCCAATCCCACTAGATTTTACCCTGCTTCAATTTCCTGTTGTATAATATAGGGTAGGAGTAGCAGATAATAACTACCCCATCCATCTCATAGAAGGATATGGGAGTAAATATGTTAGAGAAAATAAAAAGCATACATTATGCAGTGTATTAAATCAGAATAAAATAAAATAACAGATAGACTAAAATTGAAGACCAGATGTGGTGGTTCATGCCCATGATCACTGCATTTTGGGAGGCTGAGAAATCACTTGAGCCCAGGAGTTTGAGACCAGTCTGGGTAATGTAGTGAGACTCCATCTCTGTTTAAAAATATATAGGCTGAAGCCGGGCGCGGTGGCTCACGCCTGTAATCCCAGCACTTTGGGAGGCCGAGGCGGGCGGATCACAAGGTTAGGAGATCGAGACCATGGTGAAACCCCGTCTCTACTAAAAATAGAAAAAATTAGCCGGGCGCAGTGGCGGGCGCCTGTAGTCCCAGCTCCTCGGGAGGCTGAGGCAGGAGAATGGCGTGAACCCGGGAGGCGGAGCTTGCAGTGAGCCGAGATTGCGCCACTGCACTCCAGCCTGGGCGACAGAGCGAGACTCCGTCTCAATGCACTCCAGCCTGGGCGCAGAGCGAGACTGTCTCAACAAAAAAAAAAAAAAAAAAAAAAAAAAAAATATATATATATATATATATATATAGGCTGGGTGTGGCAGCTTATGCCTATAATCCCAGCACTTTGGGAGACTGAGGCATGCTGATCACTTGAGGCCAGGAGTTCCAGACCAGTCTGTAGTAGGAACCCATCTCTACAAAAAAGTAGAAAAAAATTAGCCAGGTGCAGTGGCTCACACCTGTAATCCCAGCACTTTGGGAGGCCGAAGCGGGCAGATCACTTGAGGTCAGGAGTTTGAGACCAGCCTGACCACCAACATGGTGAAACCCTGTCTCTATTAAAATACAAAAATTAGCTGGGTGTGGTGGTGCACACCTGTAATCCCAGCTACTCAGGAGGCTGAGGCAGGAGAATTGCTTGAACCCAGGAGGCAAAAGTTTCAGTGAGCCGAGATCATGCTGCTGCACTCCAGCCTAGGCGATAGAGTGAGAGTGCATCTCAAAAAAAATGAACAAACAAAAAAAATACAAGCTGGGTGCAGTGGCTCACGCCTGTAATCCTAGCACTTTATCACCTGAGGTCAGGAGTTGGAGACTAGACTGGCCAACACGGTGAAACCCCATCTCTACTAAAAAAAAAAAATTACCTGGGTGTGGTAGCATGCATCTGTAGTTCTAGCTACTCAGGAAGCTAAGGCAAGAGAATCGCTGGAACCTGGAAGGTGTAGGTTGCAGGTTGCAGAGAGCTGAGATTGCGCCAGTGCACTCCAGCCTGATGACACAGCGAGACTCTGTCTCAAAAAAAAAAAAACAAACAAACCAAGAACAAACAAACAAACAAAACCCCAAAAATTAGCCAGGCATGGTGGCACATGCCTATAATCCCAGCTACTCGGGAGGCTGAGGCAGGAGAATCACTTGAACTCGGGAGTTGGAAGTTGCAGTGAGCTGAGATCACGCTACTGCACTCCAGCCTGGGTGACAGAGTAAGACTTTGTCTCAATAAAAAAATAAAAAAATAAAAAATAGAAAATAAAAGAAAGAGAGAGAGGAGGGAGGGAGGGAGGGAAGGAAGGAAGGAAGGAAGGAAGGAAGGAAAAAAAAGTTAGCTGGGCATGGTGGCATGTGCCTGTAGTCCCAGCTACTTGGGAGGCTGAAGTAGGAGGATTGCTTGAGCCCAGGAGTTCGAAGCTACAGTGAGCTATGATTTTGCCACTGACTTTGGCCTGGGTAACAGAGTGAGACTCTGCCTCTAAGTAAATAAATAAATAAGTAAAAATTGATTTTAGACTGAATACCCATTAGTCATATGCCGAAGTAAATAAATAAATAAGTAAAAATTGATTTTAGACTGAATACCCATTAGTCATATGCCGAGGTACTATCCAAAGGTAAAAATTGTTTTGAAATTTTTATTCACCAAAGCATTACACATCATGTGCTCAGTTTATCAGAAATTTGGGCTTTTGTGGAGTCTGATTAATGAGGTCAGAGTATAGATGCACAAGTGTAGAGAAAGGAGTCAGCAAATTGTTGCAGACTCATGCCTGCTTGTCTGTTGTGAATGGGGGAATGATTTTGTATGCTTTGTTTTGTTTTGTTTTGTTTTGCCCTACCACATGTCCTACAATATTGTAAAACACTAAGATCAGCATTTGATTCCCTCCGCCCCACCTCTTTTTGGTCTTTACTGCTGATGTATTTAGATGACTTGAGTATTCATCTGTTTGTTTGTATAGTTCTTTACATGGTGTCATGCTTTTAATTTATCCTATAAAATGCCACTAAAAAACTCTTTACTATTTAACAGTTCATTTCTGTGGTTCAGATCATGTTTTCTCTTTGTAATGAATCTCTCTTAGAACAAAGAAGACCTTTAATAGACATATTATTAGGGCTCACCAAGTCACGCTTTGCAACAGTGTTTCTTTAGTATTTACTGATAATATTGGAAAATTGCATTTCCCAGACACCAGTCTATGCTGGTGTTTTCAACCCTTGCACTTTAGAAGGAGCTTGGAAGGGCCGGGAACGGTGTCTCACACCTGTAATCCCAGCACTTTGGGAGGCCGAGGTGGGCGGATCACCCGAAGTCGGGAGTTTGAGACCAGCCTTACCAACATGGTGAAACCCCGTCTCTACTAAAAAAAATACAGAATTAGCCCGGAGTGGTGGTGCACACCTGTAGTCCCAGCTACTCAGGAGGCTAAGGCAGGAGAATCGCTTGAACCCGGAAAGCAGAGTTTGCGGTGAGCTGAGATTGTACCATTGCACTCCGGTCTGGGCAATAAGAGCAAAACTCCATCACACACACACACCAAAAAAAAAAAGAAAAAAAAGAAAGTTAGATGGGAGCAAGTCCCACCCAAGCAAATTTCCTCTGAAGAGAAGGGAGTGTGGGAGGCAAAGGCATATATGTGTTTTATTTATTTATTTATTTATTTATTATTATTATTTTATTTTATTTATTTTGAGATGACGTCTTGCTTTGTCTCCCAAGCTAAAGTGCAGTGGCGCGCGATCTTGGCTCAGTGCAGCCTCTGCCTCTTGAGTTCAAGCGATTCTCCTGCCTCAGCCTCCCAAGTAGCTGGGATTACAGGCATGCACCACTATGCCTGGCTAATTTTTGTATTTTTAGTAGAGACAGGGTTTCACCATGTTGGTCAGGCTGGTCTCAAACTCCTGACCTCGTGATCCTCCTGCCTCGGCCTCCCAAAGTGCTGGGATTATAGGCGTGAGCCACTGCGCCTGGCCTTATTATTAATTAATTAATTTATTGAGACAGAGTCTTGGTCTGTCACCCTGGCTGGAGTGCAGTGGCACTATCACAGCTCACTACAGCCTTGACCTCCTGGGCTCAAGCTATCCTCCCACCTCAGCCTCACCTGGCCTTTTTTAGTTTTTTAAGACAGAGTGCAGCTGGGCATGGTGACTTATGCCTGTAATCCCAGCACTTGGGAGGCAAGGCCGGTGGATTGCTTGAGGTCAGGAGTTCAAGACCAGCTTGGCCAACATGGTGAAACCCTGTCTCTACTGAAAATACAAAAACTTAGCCAAGTGTGGTGGTGTTTGTCTGCAGTCCCAGCTACTTGGGAGGCTGAGGTGGGAGAATCTCTTGAACCTGGGACGTGGAGGTTGCAGTGAGCCAAGATTGTGCCACTGCACTCCAGCCTGGGTGACAGAGCAAGACTCCGTCTCAAAAAAAAAAAAAGAAAGAAAGACAGGATCTGGCTCTGTCGCCCAGACTGGAGTACAGTTGTGTAATCTTGGCTCACTGCAACCTCCACTTCCTCGACTGAAGTCATCCTCCCACCTCAGCCTCCCAAGTAGCTGGGACTACAGGCACACACCACCATACCTGGCTAATTTTTGTATCTTTTGTAGAGACAGGGTTTTACCATGTTGTCAAGGCTAGTCTTGAACTCCTGAGCTCAAACCATCTCCCATCTTGGCTTCCCAAAGTGCTGGGATTATAGGCGTGAGCCACCATGTAGAGACAGGGTCTCACTATGTTGCCCAGACTGGTCTTGACCTCCTCAGCTCAAGTGATCCTCCTGCCTGGGCCTTCCAAAGTGCTGAGATTACAGACGTGAGCCACCACACCCAGCTAATATATGGGTGTTTTATTTGTTTGTTTGTTTGTTTGTTTTTTGAGATGGGGTCTCCCTCTGTCACCCAGGCTGGAGTCCAGTGGCACAATCTTGACTTACTGCAACCTCCGTCTCCCAGGTTCAAGTGATTCTTCTGCCTCAGGCTCCTGAGTAGCAGCTGGGATTACATCCGTGTGCCACCATGCCCGGCTAATTTTTTTTTTTTTTCTTTTTTTTTTTTTTGAGACGGAGTCTCGCTCTGTCGCCCAGGCTGGAGTGCAGTGGTGTGATCTCGGCTCACTGCAAGCTCCGCCTCCTGGGTTCATGCCATTCTCCCGCCTCAGCCTCCCGAGTAGCTGGGACTACAGGCACCTGCCACCATGGCCGGCTAATTTTTTGTATTTTTAGTAGAGACTGGGTTTCACTGTGTTAGCCAGGATGATCTCGGTCTCCTGACCTCGTGATCCGCCCACCTCGGCTTCCCAAAGTGCTGGGATTACAGGCGTGAGCCGCCGAGCCCAGCCATGCCCGGCTAATTTTTGTATTTTTAGTAGAGACAGGGTTTCACCATATTGGCCAAGCTGGTCTTGAACTCCTGAGCTTGTGATCCGCCCACCTTGGCCTCCCAAAGTGCTGGGATTACAGGCGTGAGCTGCCATGCCCAGCCAATATACACATGTTTTAAAAGCTCCCTGGGTGATTCTTATGTTCAGCTTCAATTGAGAACTTGTTCTATATCCTTAATGACAGCAACAACAAAGATGCATAGATCATTTTGCTTTTAGAAGCTTTGCCTCCACTATGTCCTCATTTAAAAACTCAGTAATGATGAGAGATAGCAGTTACTAGCTCCACTTTATTTGTGTATGTATTTATTTTTATTTTTTATTTTTTTTTGAGACGGAGTCTCGCTCTGTCGCCCAGGCTGGAGTGCAGTGGCCGGATCTCAGCTCACTGCAAGCTCCGCCTCCCGGGTTTACGCCATTCTCCTGCCTCCACCTCCTGAGTAGCTGGGACTACAGGCGCCCGCCACCTCGCCTGGCTAGTTTTTTGTATTTTTTAGTAGAGACCGGGTTTCACCGTGTTAGCCAGGATGGTCTCGATCTCCTGACCTCATGATCCGCCCGTCTCGGCCTCCCAAAGTGCTGGGATTACAGGCTTGAGCCACCGCGCCCGGCCTGTATTTATTTTTTGAGATATTTATTTTTTGAGAGTTATACTCTGTCACCCAGGCTGGAGTGCAGTGATGTGATCATGGCTCACTGCACCCTTGACCCGAGCTCAAGGGATCCCCCACCTTAGCCTCCTGAGTAGCTGGGACTACCAGTGTGTACCACCACACCTGGCTAATTTTTTATTTTTTTGTAGAGATGAGGTCTTTTTATTTTGCCCAGGCTGGTCTCAATCTCCTGGACTCAAGTGATCCTCCTGCTTTGGCCTCTCAAACTGCTGAGATTATAGGTGTAGACATGAGCCACTGTACCCACCCTATTTTTTATTTCTTTTGAGATGGGGTCTTGCTTTGTTGCCCAGACTAGTATGTAGTGGTACAATCATAGTTCAGTACAGGCTTAACCCTTGGGCTTAAGTGATCCTCCTGCCTCAGCCTCCAGAGTAGCTGGGACTACAGGCATTTTTTGTAGAGGTGGAGTCTTGCTATGTTGCCAACGCTATAGCTCCATTTTAGAGATGAGGATACAGAAGTGCACAGAAGAAACTAGCCCAGAGTTATCCAGAGGCCAAATCCTGTGGCTCTGGATCTCAGCTATGCGATGTGTTCTCTTATGAGAGGGTGTGAGTGGGCCTGATATTAGCTGAGTCCTTTTAAAACTAGATAGAGGCTAGGGGCAGTGGCTCACGCCTTTAATCCCAGCATTTTGGGAGGCTGAGGCTGGTGGATCACTTGAGGTCTGGAGTTTGAGACCAGCCTGGTCAACATGGCAAAACCCCATCTTTTTTTTTGTTTGTTTGTTTTTGGTTTTTTTTGAGACAGAGTCTCCCTCCGTCGCCCAGGCTGGAGTGCAGTGGCGCAATCTCGGCTCACTCCAAGCTCCGCCTCCCGGGTTCACGCCATTCTCCTGCCTCAGCCTCCTGAGTAGCTGGGACTACAGGCACCCGCCACTGCACCCGGCTAATTTTTTTCTATTTTTTAGTAGAGACGGGGTTTCACCATGGTCTCGATTTCCTGACCTTGTGATCCGCCCGCCTCGGCCTCCCAAAGTGCTCGGATTACAGGCGTGAGCCACCGCGCCCAGCCAGCGAAACCCCATCTTTACTGAAAATAATGAAAATTATCGCTGGGTGTGGTGGCTCACGCCTGTAATCCCAGCACTTTGGAAGGCTGAGGCGGGTGGATCACAAGGTCAGGAGTTTGAGACCAGCCTGACCAACATGGTGAAACCCTGTCTCTACTGAAAATACAAAAATTAGCCGGGCTTGGTGGTGCACAGCTGTAATCCCAGCTACTCAGGAGGCTGAGGCAGGAGAATTGCTTGAACCTGTGAGGTGGAGGTTGCAGTGAGCTGAGATCATGCCATTGCACTCCAGCCTGGGCTACAGAAAAAAACAAACAAAAAAAGAGTAGATAGGGCCTGGCGTGGTGGCTCACACCTGTAATCCCAGCACTTTGGGAGGCCAAGACGGGCGGATCAGGAGGTCAGGAGATTGAGACCATCCTGGCTAACACAGTGAAACCCCGCCCCTACTAAAAAATACAAAAAATTAGCCGGGCGCGGTGGCTCACGCCTGTAATCCCAGCACTTTGGGAGGCCGAGACAGGCGAATCACGAGGTCGGGAGATCGAGACCATCCTGGCTAACATGGTGAAACCCCGTCTCTACTAAAAAATACAAAAAACTACCCGGGCGAGGTGGTGGGCGCCTGTAGTCCCAGCTGCTCGGGAGACTGAGGCAGGAGAATGGCGTAAACCCGGGAGGTGGAGCTTGCAGTGAGCTGAGATCCGGCCACTGCACTCCAGCCTGGGTGACAGAGCGAGACTCGTCTCAAAAAAAATAAAAAAATAAAAAAATAAAAAAAGAACAAAAAAGTCATATTCAAAAAACATTTAATTTCAGGTTATAGATAATACTGTCGATGAAACTACTTTTCTACTTGCAGTGTGAATGTAGTGTTGGCTGCTTCCACGCATGCTCTTATGAATGTAGCCTGCCTTTACTGTCTGTGGTATGAGGGTTCCACTTTCTCACCACTTTTTCTCCCAGAACCCCAGGGAAATGTTTGTGTGGCATGATGCTGTGACTTAATTTGGCCCCTAGATGGCGAGACCAGGGTTTATTCACTTGTGAATCCCAGATAGTTACCTAATGATTCGTGTATTCAGTGTTTGGCTCTTTTGGCTTGAAAGTGTCACTTACTCAGTTACCTCTGATTTTTTCCCATCATCCCCTTGAATGTGTAGTGTTACCGCTGGTGTCTGAGTGCCCACGAGCACCAAGATGCACAATCAATGCAACTGCGTATGTGGTCACTGAAATTGTTCTTGATGGTAAGATGGTGGTGTAGAATGTGCTTGTTCATTGTTTTAGGTCATCTTGGAAATGAAAGCAAAATATAAAGACCTTGTAAAGGAGACTTGAGGAGCTCTGAGCCAAGATCCACGCCCCATGTTGAGGAACACTGGTTTTCCTTATAAATTGCTTTATGTGTGTGAATATTCTCTCTCCATTCACTCGTAAGCCTCATGAGGACAGTCACCATTTATTTATTTATTTGAGACAAGGTCTGGCTCTGTCACCCAGGCTGGAGTGCAGTGGCGTCATCTTACTGCAACCTCTGCCTCCCAGGTTCAAGTGATTTTCCTGCCTCACCCTTACGAATAGATGGGATTACAGGCACCCACCACCATGCCTGGCTAATGTTTTGTATTTTTAGTAGAGACCGGGTTTTGTTATGTTGGCCAGGCTAGTGTCGAACTCCTGACCTCAAGTGATCCGCCAGCTTCAGCCTCCCAAAGTGGTGGGATTACAGGCATGAGCCACAGAACGCGACCCACACTATTTCTTTTTTTTTTTTTTTTTTTTTTTTTTTTTTTTGAGATGAGATGGAGTCTTGCTCTGTAGCCCGGGCTGGACTGCAGTGGCCGGATCGCAGCTCACTGCAAGCTCCGCCTCCCGGGTTTACGCCATTCTCCTGCCTCAGCCTCTCAAGTAGCTGGGACTACAGGCGCCCGCCACCTCGCCCGGCTAGTTTTTTTTTGTATTTTTAGTAGAGACGGGGTTTCACCGTGTTCGCCAGGATGGTCTCGATCTCCTGACCTCGTGATCCGCCCGTCTCGGCCTCCCAAAGTGCTGGGATTACAGGCTTGAGCCACTGCGCCCGGCCTTTTTTTTTTTTTTTTTGAGATGGAGTCTCGCTCTGTCACGGATGCTGGAGTGCAATGGCGTGATCTCGGCTCACTGCAAGCTCCGCCTCCCAGATTCATGCCATTCTCCTGCCTCAGCCTCCTGAGTAGCCGGGACTACAAGGCACCCGCCACCACGCCCGGCTAATTTTTTTGTATTTTTTAGTAGAGACAGGGTTTCACTGTGTTAGCCAGGATGGTCTCGATCTCCTGACCTCGTAATCTGCCCGCCTCTGCCTCCCAAAGTGCTGGGATTACAGGCGTGAACCACTGCACCCGGCCCTCGACCCATACTATTTCTTGATGCTGGCCACTGCCAGGGTGCTGTGTTTATTGCATGGTAGGTGCCAGTAGAATGAATTCTCTGATCAGCTGTGGTTCTCCCTCCCCTGTGTTCAGGTTTTATGTGTAGGTTTGCAGAAGTCTGCTTTTTAAAGAAATTGTATTTCTTTTTCTTCCCTTGAACCAGGAAAAAAGAAGAAAAGTTGGACTGGATGTACCAGGGTCCTGGTGGAATGGTGAACCGTGATGAGTACCTGCTGGGGCGCCCCATTGACAAATATGTTTTTGAGAAGATGGAGGAGAAGGAGGCAGGCTGCTCTTCTGAAACAGGACTCCTCCCAGGCTCTATCTTTGCCCCATCAGGTGCCAATTCCCTTCTTGACATGGCCAGCAAGATCCGGGAGGACCCACTGTTCATCATCAGGTACTAATGGGGGGCTGGGAAGGGGATTTGTTGCAGATGCTTTGAGACCCTGCTAAGGCCACTGATTCTCTTGCTTTACAGTTTTCCCTTCGCTTTTATCTGCCATATAAATGATTTGTTTCTATTTGGGCTTCCTGATGCTGGGAAGGAGGCTCTAGTAAGTGTGCCTGCCTGACCTAGGCCATATGCAAAGATACTGGCCAATGCACCAGCCCAGCTTTATTCATTTACCTTTGGCCCTTAAACAAAAATGGGAGTCAGAAACAAGGTGAAAAAGGTTGTCACCTTCTTAGAAGCTTGGGAATATGTGTAGTGCTGGCCAAGTGGGTGAACAGGCCTTCTTACCACATTTCTTTTTTCAGGTGGGGAGGGGAAGGGAAGAAGAACCCTTCAAAAAGAAACTTGCAAATCTTACTTGAAACCCTAGTATGTAATATTAGAGTTGCAGTTTGGGTGCTAAATGAAGATAGACTGTGCATATTATTATTTATTTTAGTTTAGTTTGCATTTTAATTCCAGTATATAAGATTCAACGTTTAAATATGTTTATTTTTTATTTACAGTTTTTTTTCTTTTCTTCTCCTTATTTACCTCTATTTATTTTTTTTTGGAGACGGAGTCTCGCTCTGTTGCCCAGCCTGGAGTATAGTGGCGCGATCTCAGCTCACTGCAACCTCCACCTCCTGGGTTCAAGCAATTCTACCTGCCTCAGCCTCCCAAATAGTTGGGATTACAGGTGCCCACCACCAAGTCCGGCTAATTTTTGTATTTTTATTAGAAATGGGGTTTGGCCATGTTGGCCAGGCTGGTCTCCAACTCCTGACTTCAAGTCATCCGCCCACCTCGGCCTCCCTAAGTGCGGGATTACAGGCATGAGCCACCATGTCTGGCCTAGTTACAGTTTTTCTTTTGCAAATTCTCTTTAAAGTTATTTATATTAACCATATCCTGGAATAAAACAAATGAAAAAAGTTATTTATCAAAGATATTGTATAGGTTGCAAATATTTTGTCCCCTTTTTTTAGTGTCTTAGTTTATCGTGGTAAAATATACGTAACATAGAATGTCCCATTTTAACCATTTTCATATGTACAGCTCAGTGTATTAAATACATTCACAGTGTTGCTGGGCGCGGTGGCTTGTGCCTGTAATCCCAGCACTTTGGGAGGCCGAGGCGGGTGGATCACAAGGTCAGGAGATTGAGACCATCCTGGCTCACATGGTGAAACCCCGTCTCTACTAAAAATACAAAAAATTAGCCGGGCGTGGTGGCGGGCGCCTGTAGTCCCAGCTACTCGGGAGGCTGAGGCAGGAGAGTGTGAACCCGGGAGTCGGAGCTTGCAGTGAGCTGAGATTGCACCACTGCACTCCAGCCTGGGCAACAGAGCAAGACTCTGTCTCAAAATAAATAAATAAATACATTCACAGTGTTGGGCAGCCATCACCACAGCCCGTCTCCAGAACTCTCGCCATTCTGAATTGAAATTCTATACCTATCAAAAACAACTCACAGCTGGGTACAGTGGATCACACCTGTAATCCCAGCACTTAGCGAGGCTGAGATGGATGGATTTCTTGAGCCCAGGAAATTGAGATCAGCCTGAGCAACATGGTGAAACCCCATCTCTATAAGAAATACAAAAATTAGCTGGGCATGGTGGCGGGTGCCTATAGTCCCAGCTACTTGGGAAGCTGACGTGGCAGTATCACTTGAGCCCAGGCGATCAAGGCTGCAGTGAGCCGTGATCATGCCAGTGTACTGCAGCCTGGACGACTGAGCATGACTCTTTTTTTTTTTTTGAGACAATCTCTTATATTTGGGGGAGATTTTTGGCTTTGACACCATCATGTAGTTTTTTATTTTTATTTTTTGAGACAGGGTCTCACTCTGTCACCCAGACTGGAGTGCAATGGCACAATCTCAGCTCACTGCAACCTCTGCCTCCTGGGTTTAAGTTATTCTCCCACCTCAGCCTCCCGAGTAGCCAGGACTGTAGGTGTGTGCTACCACACCTGGCTAATTTTTGTGGGGTTTTTTTTGTTAGAGACGAGGTTTCACCATGTTGGCAAGGCTGATCTTGAACTTCTGACCTCAAGTGATCTGCCTGCCTCAGCCTCCCAGAGTGTTGGGATTACAGGCGTGAGATGAGCCACTGCACTGCACCCAGCCCCATCATCATGTAGATTTTTTTTTTTTTTTTTTTTTTTGAGACAAGAGTCTTGCTCTATCGCCCAGGCTGGAGTGCAATGGCACGATCTTGGCTCACTGCAATCTCCGCCTCCCAGGTTCAAGCGATTCTCCTCCCACAGTCTCCCAAGTAGCTGGGATTACAGGCGCGCACACCACCACACCCAGGTCATACTCCATAGAATTTGGAGAAAATAAATAGTCATGAATTTTATAATTATCTCTATTTAGGAAGAAGGAGGAGGAGAAAAAACGAGAGGTATTAAATAATCCAGTGAAAATGAAGAAAATCAAAGAATTGGTAAGTAGTGTATCAGATAAGCACCAAGAGCATCTTTTAGCCATATAACATGAGAACCTCTCTCCATTTACTCTCAACTTACGGGGGGAAAACAGAATGGCCTCTAAAACTTTTGTCTTTTGGAGACCATCTCGTGGCTATTTTATGTAATTTTTTCTTTTTTTGAGATGGAGTTTCAATCTTGTTGCCCAAGCTGGAGTGCAATGGTGCGATCTTGGCTCACCGCAACCTCCACCTCCTGGGTTCAAGTGATTCTCCTGCCTCAGCCTCCCTAGTAGCTGGGATTACAGGCATGTGCCACCACGCCCGGCTTATTTTGTATTTTTAGTAGAGATGGGGTTTGTTCATGTTGGTCAGGCTGGTTATTTTATGTAATCTTAATTTGTTAAGCTTAATTAAACTTGATTTTGGTTGAAAGTCTTTTGGGTGGGAGAATGCACCATGTGATGTCATTTTTCCAGAAAAAGAGTGTGGGCTAAGCGTGTGGAAAGCATTACCATTCGGTGTGTTCAGGAGGTCGGAGGATGCCCTTGGTCATGGTATAAAGCTTCCAGGGGCTGGGCGTGGGTGGATCACCCGAGGTCGGGAGTTCAAGACCAGCCTGACCAATATGGAGAAACCCAGTCTCTACTAAAAATACAAAATTAGCCGGGGTGGTGGCGCATGCCTGTAATCCCAGCTAAGGGGAGGCTAAGGCAGGAGAATCGCTTGAACCTAGGAGACGGAGGTTGCAGTGAGCCAAGATCGTGCCATTGCACTCCAGCCTGGGCAACAAGAGCGAAACTCTGTCTCAAAAAAAAAAAAAAGGCTTCTAGGGCCCACTTATTCACATGACATATTATGTAATTGTGTCTTGGATCAGTTGGTAAGGAAAATTAAAGCTTGACCTTGCAGTTCCTGACTGCTTTCAATGGAATGGGAATTCCTTTGACACAGAATGGAAACTCCTAGGCAGTGGTTTTGGTGACTGTTTAAAAACACAAATTCTTAGTCTCACCTACCAGATACCAGTTCAGTAGTTGGGGTTGTTAGTGCACAGCCTGGGTTAAGACCCTTCCCCTGGTGTGTTGACATGGAACCCCCATAATGTCCTGGACTTCTGTAGACCCAGAGGCATGGAGTCAGGCAGTTTGTGCATGAGCCACGCCCCTCAAAGGAGACTGACTGGGGTCTCAGTAATCTTTTTTTTTTTTTTTTTTGAGGTGGAGTCTCACTCTGTTGCCCAGGCTGGAGTGCAGTGGCGTGATCTCAGCTGACTGCAAGCTCCGCCTCCTGGGTTCACACCATTCTCCTGCCTCAGCCCCCCAAGTAGCTGGGACTACAGGTGCCTGCCACCACGCCCAGCTAATTTTTTGTGTTTTTAGTAGTGATGGTGTTTTACTGTGTTAGCCAGGATGGTCTCAATCTCCTGACCTCGTGATCTGCCCAGCTCGGCCTCCCAAAGTGCTGGAATTACAGGTGTGAGCCACCGTGCCTGGGCCTTCGTTTTTTTTTTTTCTTTTAATGAGATGGAGTCTCACTCTGTTGCCCAGGCTGCTAGAGTGCAGCAGTGCAATCTCGGCTTACTGCAACCTCTGCCTCCTGGGTTCAAGCGATTCTTCTGCCTCAGCTTCCCGAGTAACTGGGACTACAAGCACACATCACCACACCCTGCTAATTTTTGTATTTTTAGTAGAGATGGGGTTTCACCATATTGGCCAGGCAGATCTTGAACTTCTGACCTTGTGATCCTCCCGCTTCAGCCTCCCAAAGTACTGGGATTACAGGAGTGAGCCACCATGCCCAGCCAGTAATCTTTTTTTTTTTTTTGAGACACAGTTTCACTCTGTCGCCCAGGCTGGAGTGCAGTGGCACAATCTCGGCCCACTACAACCTCTGCCTCCCGGTTCAGGTGATTCTTGTACGTCAGCCTCCCAAGTAGCTGCCATTACAGGTGCCCAACACCACACCCAGCTAATTTTTGTATTTTTAGTAGAGACGGGGTTTTGCCATATTGGCAAGGCTGGTCTCGAACTCCGAATCTCAAGTGATGATCTGCTCGACTCGGCCTCCCAAAGTGCTGGAATTATAGGTACTGGCTGGTCTCAGTAATCTTGTGTGTTTGTGTTCTCGGCATTTTCCAGTTGCAAATGAGTCTGGAAAAAAAGGAGAAGAAGAAGAAGAAGGAGAAGAAAAAGAAGCACAAGAAACATAAGCACAGAAGCTCGAGTAGTGATCGTTCCAGCAGTGAGGATGAGCACAGTGCAGGGAGGTGAGCACGTGGCGACTGGCCTCCCTTCTCGTTGATTCACTTGCTCATTCACTCATTCATTCCACAGACATGAACACCTGCCCTGTGCTGGGAGCTGCCAGGTACTGGGCATTCAGTGATGAATACTTGAACATGGGCCCTGTGCCCACAGAGCTTGCCATCTAATGCTAGAGTTCCTTGGAGATGCTAAATGTGAGTGGGTATCTCGGCCATGCTGCTGGAGAGAGACCCTAAATGGAGCTGACTTTAGCCTGGTAGGTCTTAGGTAGGTCAGACATCCTGGGGGTGACTGTTTCATCTCAGTTTAGGATTCCTTCAAGACTGAAGTGGGCTTTATATAGGCTTTTTTTAATGGACGGTGGCCCATGTGGTCCCATTCTGCGTGTCTTCCCGTGGGAGCAGTCAGCTCCGCCGCTGCTGAGTCACTGTTCATCCCCGGAATAGCAGCATGAAGTGAGAGGAGAATGTGTTCAGGCGTTGGGGCTTAGAAGCGAGGCCCACAGTTTTTCACAGGAAAATTTGACTGTGCTGATGCATCTTTCGGCATAGACAATTCAAATAGAGAAACGTACTGCCAGGTAACAGCTGGGAGGTGGAAAGGTCACATTGGAAGCAAGAAGCATCGTTCAGCATAAGATACTTAAATTGGACCTATATGTATTTTCTTTTTCAATGACTGTGTGTATTTTAATCTCTTAGATCTCAGAAGAGGATGGCAAATTCCTCCCCTGTTTTGTCCAAAGTCCCTGGATATGGCTTACAGGTAGGGATGTGGGCTCCTTGAAAGGAGTGACTATAGGACTGTGGGATATGCCACTTGGACAATGTGGATAGCAGGGAGGTGGGCAGTGAAGCCTGGGCTGCTGGGAAACAGGTCCCTTCTTATCCCTGAGCATCTTCTTGTGGCTGACGACCCTCTGAGCAGAGAGACTAAACCACCAATGGGGCATTGAGGCATTCTACCCATCCCTCTACAAATAATTTACATGAAATGCACATATTTTAAGTGTATAGGTGGTTTTTTTTTTCTTTAGACAGAATCTCGCTTGTCACTCAGGCTGGAGTACAGTGGCGTGATCTCAGCTCACTGCAACCTCTGCCTCCTGGGTTCAAGCTATTCTCCTGCCTTAGCCTCCCGAGTAGCTGGGATTACAGACGCCCACCACCATGCCCAGCTAATTTTTGTATTTTTAGTAGAGTCAGGGTTTTGCGTGTTGGCCAGGATGGTCTTGAACTCCTGACCTCAGGTGATCCCCCCGCCTTGGTCTCCCAAAGTGCTGGGATTACAGGCGTGAGCCAGTGTGCCTCGCCTAAGTGTATAGGTTGATGATTTTTGACAAACATAAATCGGCTGTTTTTTTTTTTTTTTTGAGTAGCAGCGCATCATTATTTTGCCCAGGCTGGTCTCAAACTCCTGAGCTTAAGCAATCTTCTGAGTAGCTGGAAGGGCAAGCTCAAGGCACCTGACTTGCCTTCTGTATTTCTGTATTTTTGGTTTTTTTTTGAGATGGAGTTTCACTCTTCTTGCCCAGGCTAGAGTGTGATGGCACGATCTCAACTCACTGCAACCTGGACCTCCTGGGTTCAAGCGATTTTCCTGCCTCAGCCTCCCAAGTCACTGGGATTACAGGCATGCGCCACCACACCCAGCTGATTTTGTATTTTTAGTAGAGACGGGGTTTCTCCATGTCGCCCAGGCTGGAGTGCAGTGGCACAATCTCAGCTTATTGCAACATCTGCCTCCCGGGTTCAAGCTATTGTCCTGAGTAGCTGGGATTACAGGTGCCCGCCACCATGCCTGGCCAATTTTTGTATTTTTAGTAGAGACGGGGTTTCTCCATGTTGGTCAGGCTGGTCTCGAACTCCTGGCTTCAAGCTATCTGCCCGCCTCAGCCTCCCAAAGTTCTGGGATCACAGGCATGAGCCACTGTGCCTGGCCTCGTATTTCTGTATTTTTAACCTTAGGTCCTGTCCTCCATGCTTCTGCGTCTTGCTCTTCCTTAACCTATAGTGAAGACCCAAGCCAGGTATATTCTTTTCGTTTTTTTTTTTTTTGAGAGGGAGTCTTGCTCTGTCGCCCAGGCTGGACCTACCATACCCAACTAATTTTTAAATATTTTGTAGAGACAGGGTCTCACTAGTTGCTCTGAGTGGTGTCAAACTCTTGATCTCAGGCAGTCCTCCTGCCTCCATCTCCCAAAGTGTTGGGATTAAAGGTGTGAACGACTGCACCTGGCTGACTGAAGGAGATTCTTTTAGGGGATTCTGCAGATAACTAAGTTTATACAGTTCTCTGTGATAATTCTATGTGATGATATTGGTGTGCCCAGTGAGCTCCTTATGTAACATCTCCTGTTTCACTGCCTTTTCTTTTTTCCTTTTGAGACGGAGTCTTGCTCTGTCGCCCAGGCTGGAGTGCAGTGGCGTGATCTCGACTCACTGCAACCTATGCCTCCCAGGTTTAAGCAATTCTCTTGCCTCAGCCTCCCGAGTAGCTGGGATTACAGGTGCCCACAACCAGGCCCGGGTAATTTTTGTATTTTTAGTAGAGATGGGGTTTCATCATGTTGGCCAGGCTGGTCTCAAACTCCTGACCTCAGGTGATCCACCTGCCTAGGCCTCCCAAAGTGCTGGGATTACAGATGTGAGCCACCGTGCCTGGCTGCATTTTCTCCTGAATCGCTGGATTTTCCATGTGAATAATTTCTCTTTTCCTTAATGATGTAGGTCAGGAACTCTGACCGTAACCAGGGTCTTCAGCGTCCTCTGACAGCCGAGCAAAAGAGAGGGCATGGGATGAAGAACCATTCCAGATCCAGAAGCTCCTCCTACTCACCCCCCAGACATGCCAGCAAGAAGAGCACCAGGGAAGCAGGGTCCCGGGACAGGAGGTCCCCGGGCAGAAGGTCATGGTCCCCAAGGCCCAGCAAACCGTGAGTGTGGGATTCACTGGAAAATAACCTGTGACTGTGGGGGCATGGTCCCTGCAGGCATTTGCTTTTGCTTTTGGAGATGTCCATCCATCGACTTTCCCAAATGTCTTTGCTTTGGTATTTCCTTTACATCATTTTTTTTCCACCTCTATGTAAAGCTCAGGCATCCAAAGCTACATATCTGTAGGTGTATACTGTGCTTTGGGAGCTCTGGGGTGAGTCTGACATCAAACCCTATACCTTTATTTTTCTCATACTTGTGCCCTCTGCTTAGATTATACCTCTAAGACCATTAGCTCATCTTGCATTGTTTGAGAGATTCGATGTAAGCCCCTGGATTAAAAAGGCTTTTTCCTCTCTGTGTCTGTTACAGGCACAACTCTAAGGTGAACAGGAGAGAAACAGGCCAAACTAGGAGCCCATCACCTAAAAAGGAGGTCTACCAAAGGCGACATGCTCCCGGATATACCAGGTGAGTCAGGAGCCTAGTTGATTAACTTCACATTCTGCAGGCCTGAATCTAGAAGGGGCCCAAACCAGGGCAAATGGATAATCCATCATTACCTTTTCGACAAACCAACTTTTATTTATTTTGTCAGCCTGTAAGGGTCTGCGACCCCTACCTCTAGCCATGTGAGGCACATTGAAAGGGCAAGGTAAGGCTGGGCGTGGTGGCTCATGCTTGTAATCCCAGCAGTTTGGGAGGCTGAGGTGGGTGGATCACCTGAGGTCAGGAGTTCGAGATCATCCTGACCAACATGGTGAAACCCCGTCTCTACTAAAAATATAAAATTAGTTGGTCATGGTGGCGCATGCCTGTAATCCCAGCTATTTGGGAGGCTGAGACAGGAGAATTGCTTGAACCCAGGTATCGGAGGTTACAGCAAGTCGAGATCGCACCACTGCACACCAGCCCAGGCGACAGTGCGAGACTTCGTCTCCAAAAAAAAGAAAATAAAAAAAAATCTCTTAACAAAAACCAAGCCAGACACAGTGGTCCATGCTTGTAATCCCAGCGCTTTGGGAGGCTAAGGCAAGGAGGATCATTTAAGGTCAAGGGATTAAGGTTGCAGTGAGCTATGATCAAGCCACTGCAGTTTTGCTTGGGCGACAGAGCAAGACCCTATCTCTTAAAATTACCAAAAAAAACCCCTCAGTTATTCTTACTGGGTGTGGTGGCTCATACCTGTAATCCCAGCAGTTTGAGAGGCCAAGGCAGGAGGATCACTTGAGGCCAGGAGTTCCAGACCAGTCTGAGGACATAATAAGACACTATCTCTACAAAAAATTATTTTAAAAACATTTAAAAAAACAAAAGCTAGTAGTTCTTTGCTCTGCCTGACCCCACTTTCAGTCATGCTACCCAAAGGCAACTACTTTCAGCTTTTTCAGTAGTTTCTTTTCATACTATGTATTCCTAAAAATACAAATATGTTGCTGCCTCTTCATCCATCAATTTTAGATACTAGATATTTTCTTTTTTCTTTCTTCTTTTTTTTTTGAGACAGCATCTCGCTCTGTCTCCCAGGCTGGAATGCAGTGCCACAATCTTGGCTCACTACAACTTCTGCCTCCTGGGTTCAAGTGATTCTTCCCAGCCTCCCTAGTAGCTGGGACTACAGGCACACGATGCTATGCCCAGCTATTTTTTTGGTTTTTCTTTTGAGATGGAGTTTCACTCTTGTTGCTGAGGCTGGAGTGCAATGACCGAATCTCGGCTCACCACATCCTCTGCCTCCTGGGCCCAAGTGATTCTCCCGCCTCAGCCTCCCAAGTAGCTGGGATTACAGCATGTGCCACCACGCCCAGCTAATTTTTGTATTTTTAGTAGAGATGGGCTTTCTCCATGTTGGTCAGGCTGATCTCGAACTCCCAACCTCAGGTGATCTGTCTGCCTTGGCCTCCCAGAGTGCCACCACGCCCAGCCTTTTTTTTGAGATGGAGTCTCGCTCTATTGCCCAGGCTGCAGTGCAGTGGCATGATCTTGGCTCACTGCAACCTCTGCCTCCTGGGTTCCAGCAAGTCTCCTGCCTCAGCTTCTTGAGTAGCTGGGACTACAGGCACATGCCACCATGCCCAGCTGATTTTTGTATTTTTTAGTAGAGACGAGGTTTCACCATATTGGTCAGGCTGGTCTTGAACTCTTGACATCAGGTGATCTGCCCGCTGCGGCCTCCCGAAGTGTTGAGATTACAGGCATGAGCCACAGCACCTGACCCTAATTTTTGTATTTTTAGTTTATATGGGATTTCAATGTGTTGCTCAGGCTGGTCTCGAACTCCTGAGCTCAGGCAATCCACCTGCCTTGGCCTCCCAAAGTGTTAGGATTACAGGTGTGAGCCACCGCACCCGGCCAGATCTTAGATATATTCTTACCGTTTTATTTTTTTATTTTATTTTATTTTTTTGAGACGGAGTGTCGCCCTGTTGCCCAGGCTGGAGTGCAGTGGTGCGATCTTGGCTCACTGCAAGCTCCACCTCCCAGGTTCACGCCATTCTCCTGCCCCAGCCTCCTGAGTAGCTGGGACTACAGGTGCCCACCACCACGCCCAGCTAATTTTTTGTATTTTTAGTAGAGACAGGGGTTTCACTGTCTTAGCCAGGATGGTCTTGATCTCCTGACCTCACGATCTGCCTGCCTTGGCCTCCCAAAGTGCTAGGATTACAGACGTGAGCCAACGTGCCCAGCCCAGGTATTTTCTTACTGGTATAGTAAATAATCTCTTATGGTAAATGAACTTTCATACACTCCTAGTCCCATGTTTCTTCTATCCCTATCTTTTCAGTATGGTTATATCAGAATTTTTGGTTCAATTAGTATGTGGATTCATACTTGTATGATATATAAATATTGTTTACTGATACTTTTCATTCCTAAGCCAAGCAGAATATAGAGGTTACATTTCCTTTCTTGTATGATGTGTGTATTTTTTCCTAGTGTCAGTATTTGCTTCCTACAATCTAAACCATGTCTTTGAGTTCTAGGAAATTTTCTTGTATTATTTCTTTGATAACTTCTTTATTCTCCCTACAAAGTCTCACTGTGTTGCCTAGGTTGGAGTGCATTGGGGCGATCATGGCTCACTGCAGCCTCAAACTCCTGGGTTCAACTGATCCCCCTACCTCAGCCTTCCAATTAGTTGGGGGTACAAGGGTATGCCACCATGCCCAGCTAATTAAAAAAAATTTTTTTTTTTTTTTTTTTTCAGCAGAGATGGGAGGTCTCACTTTGTTACCTAGGCTGGTCTCAAACTCTTGGACTCAAGCAATCCTCCTGCCTAAGCCTCCCAAAGTGCTGGGATTACGGGCTAGAGCCACTATGCCTGGCAGTCGTTTTCGTTTTTTTTTAAAGTCTCCTACTCTCATTTGAATGCTCTAATATCTTTCATTTATTATCTCTGAAGCAGATTTATTTATTTATTATTTATTTATTTTTTTGAGATGGAGTCTCACTCTGTCGCCCAGGCTGGAGTGCAGTGGCGCAATCTCGGCTCACTGCAACCTCCGCCTCCTGGTTCACGCCATTCTGCCTCAGCCTCCCCAGTAGCTGGGACTATAGGCGCTCGCCACTATGCTCAGCTAATTTTTTGTATTCTTTAGTAGAGACAGGGTGTCACTGTGTTAGCCAGGATGGTCTCGATCTCCTGACCTCATAATCCACCCGCTTCGGCCTCCCAAAGTGCTGGGATTACAGGCGTGAGTCACCGCGCCCGGCCTCTGAAGCAGATTTTTAATAGTAAATTGTTTTTTGTTTGGAGGGGTTTTTTTTTTTTTTTGAGACAAGAGTCTCGCTCTGTCGCCCAGGCTGGAGTGCAGTGGTGCGATCTTGGCTCACTGCAACCTCTGCCTCCAAGGTTCGAGTGATTCTCCTGCCTCAGCCTCCCAAGTAGCTGGGATTACAGGTACACACCACCACACCTGGCTTATTTTTGTAATTTTAGTAGAAACAGGGTTTCCCCACATTGGCCAGGCTGGTCTCGAACTCCTGACATCAGGTGATCTGCCTGCCTCGGCCTCCCAAAGTGCTGGGATTACAGGCGTGAGCCTCTAGGCCTGGCCCTATTTATTATTTTCTGAGGCTAAGTTATTCCTTCAACTTCTGGCTTCTAGCTTAGTCCTAAAGTAGTGTATTCACGGGCTGTGTCATGAATTTCTAGTCTCCAGTGGGTAGTTAGATGGTAGATGTTAACAGTTACATGGATAACCTAGACTTCTGTTCTTTGATAAATTGTTGAGCAAACCATTGGGATATAATTGCTACAGTTTAGGTTCCTGATGAGTTCCCAATTTATTTCATATTTCATATTTCATAATAATCACTCTAGAGATTACTGAGTGAGATTATGGAATACTTTACTAAAAGCCTTTGAAATTTGGATGAAACCTCCTGACCAGGATGTTAGAAGGAAACTCAGGCTGGCCTTGCACTTGGAGAGAGCAGTGAACTGGAGAGCTTGGGGTGCTACCTGGCTTCTGTGCTTCTTGTGCTACTTCTGTTTTTTTTTGCTGGGAAAGACCTGATTGGATGGTTTCTGTGCTCAACAGAAAACTCTCCGCAGAGGAATTAGAGCGAAAACGGCAAGAGATGATGGAAAACGCCAAATGGCGGGAGGAGGAGAGACTTAACATTCTCAAGAGGCACGCTAAAGATGAGGAACGGGAGCAGAGGCTAGAGAAGCTGGACTCCCGGGATGGGAAGTTCATCCAGTGAGTGCATCTTCTTCCTGCCGGGGGCTTTCATGGGGAAGGTCTTAAGATGGCAGGCTGGCAGGTGGTTCACGTTCCAGTGTTTCTGTGTTTGCACATGGAGCCCAGCCTTGTGCAACGAGGCTGCTCGTTACAGGCATTGTAACCTTGGCTGCTACTCCTCGTTTCTGACCACACAGTGGGATGTTTTTCATTTGAGGGGAGGAAAAGTGAATTTGGTATTTTCTAAATCATTGAAATTCCTTGACCTTCCTTTTAAATAAGAATTCATGGCCCAGGAAGCCTTTTTCCAATGAGGCTTTGACTTATTTTCCAAAATAGATACATTTTCCCTCATGGACACTGGTTTAAAAACATTTCGTTCCAGGTGGAGTCACTCAAGTTATCTATGGGGGCTTAAAAGAGGTTGTGTTTTTACAGCTGCTCTATGGCTAACAACCCATTTCCTCTGAAACTGCCAGAATAGTTGACCGATTGAAAATGTTTTTGACTTCCATTTGCCTGTCTTCTCTTTCTAGCCGCATGAAGCTGGAGAGTGCATCTACTTCCTCCCTGGAGGATCGGGTGAAGCGGAATATCTACTCTCTACAGAGAACTTCGCTAGCTCTGGAGAAGAACTTTATGAAAAGATGAAAACTGTCCCCTCTCTTATTGGTTTTCCTGCATTTTCCAGGGAAGCTGCTGACCCCTTAATTCTCTTTATAAGAGTTCGAATGACTTCTTTCACAGATATCAAACCACAACTGTTCAAAGTGACCCTGCTCCATCGAGTCCTGGAACAGCTCACTTCCTTTGTGAGCTAGTGTAACTTGCTTTGTGGGACACTCAGTAACTTTGGGTTTTGACTCTTTAATGGGTGGGCACTGGACCATCTTGGTGGGAGTGCTTGTGTCGCTCTGGAAGGCTGTTCCCTGGGGTTGTGATGTTTATCATGCCGCTTCCTTCTTACCTGTGCCAACAGACCTATTTCACTGCCTCAGTGTACACCAGACCCTTCAGAAACCTCTCTGAGACAAATTCATGTTTACTTGATTCAGAAGATAGTGTTGCCGGGCGTGGTGGCTCATGCCTGTAATCCCAGCACTTTGGGAGGCCAAGGCAGGTGGATCATGAGGTCAGGAGATCGAGACCATCCTGGCTAACATGGTGAAAACCCATCTCTACTAAAAATACAAAAAACTAGCCAGACATGATGGTGGACGCCTGTAGTACCAGCTACTCGGGAGGCTGAGGCAGGAGAATGGTGTGAACCCGGGAGGCGGAGCTTGCAGTGAGCCAAGATCGCACCACTGCACTCCAGCCTGGGCAAAAGAGCGAGACTTCGTCTCAAAAAAAATAAAAAATTTAAAAAAAAAAGAAGATAATGTGACAGAATGATGTCAGGTTAGGTCAAAGCCAAGGGAGTGACAGAATCTGGAAAATCAAACAATACAAACAGCCCTAAATGAACTGTTAACTATTTGATCTTTGGATGTAAAAGTGTAATGTGTATATGTACAAATGTGTAATTCTTACATGCTTTTAAAAAAGGTTAGCTTTGTGAAAATATCTTGTTTGGTCAGTGACTTTACTGGGTAATAGAACCACATTGAACCTTGATGGCAAGGAATAAAATAAGGCAGGCCAGCTCGTTTTTCTCTGAATCTGGCTGATTTAGGAGGAGCCTGGGTTTATCGACAGGATCTGGAGTATCTATTCTTTTCCACTGCTTGCAGTCTCCAATGTAGGCAGTGTAAAGGTATAGTAAAATGATTTTAGGAGTCAGAACCAAATTGCCAATATGCTCCATGGCTCCTAAAGGAAAATAAAATGGAAGCTTTTTATTTCACGGCTTTATTTCTTACTGTGTAAGAAATGAAGATTACAATTACAGATTTTCAGGAGTTGTTTGCTAGTCTCTTTCAGTCAGGTACTAAAAAAACAAACAAAAAAAAACCCTCAAGGGGCCACTCTTCTATCTTTACTCCTTTTCCCTTCTCTATTCTTTCACCAGAAGCCCTCATTTGACCAATGAACTCCTAGGCCCTCTTGACCCGCACATTAGCAGGGCGATTTCCTTGTTCTGCTAATTCCTAATTCTGCTTAAAATGTATTTGGATTTCTGTTTTTGAACACTTACGATGCCAGGCACTGTAATGCTTGAAACCCGATCTTTCCCTAGAGAATGTAACATAAGTTTTTTCATTTAATCACTTCATCATGCTTCCTTATGCCGGGGTTAATTATGTTTATTTTATTAATTGGTAATAAAGGCCACATTTATTTTTGTAACTGTTTAAAGAGCGACCACCTGTGGAGTACCGAATTTACGAATTTCCATACAGAAAGAACAACGTTGACCTGTGATTTGTGTCAAATATATGGAGATCCCTCATCTGAGAATTATGTAACAAAGCGTGGGGCAGTTTACTCAAAGATTTTACGAAATGAGCCAGAGTAAGACGATTAGTGGGACAGGTGTCTGAAGGTGCTGGCGGCCTCTGAGCTCTGACCCTTTGCGGGGAGACCAGGCGGCAGGTGGGTGGGCGCGGGGCCCATTCATAAAAACCAATGTTCCCGGCCTGCTTCTCATTGGCCCTGGGGGAAAGGGGCGTGCCCCGCGGGTGGAGCGCGCCCAGGACCCAGCGGAGTGGGTAGATCCACGCTTGGGTGGAGCGAGGGGGCGTTCCTTGGCTTTCCAGGCTGGACTTCCTCTTCCCCTGGCTGCGTCCCTCCTCTCCCCCGGGGTGGGCATGGTATGTCCCGCCCTCCTCGCATTCCCGCCCCTCCTTCCCTTCCGGAGCGGTGGCGTCGCCGCCATCTTGGCATTCGGGTTGAGGGAAAGAGCCAAACCCTGGCGTTGGGGGCCCCAGGCGGGGAGCCCCTCCCGCGATCCACAACTACGCCTGCCCAGCCCTCCTCCTCTTCCCGCTCCGGTGCGGGGCCCCGAGGCGTTCGGAGGCCAGGCGGGTTTCTGTCAGGCCCGGGGAGGAGGGGCGGGCGGGGCGGCCGCTGCCTCCCCGGGACGGGCCGTACCACGCGGGCGGGGAGGACGGGGCCAGGGGACGGCAGGGCTGCTGCACCGCCTGGGGGCGGGGTGCGGAGCGGGCCGGCCGGCTCCCCGCGGGGGGGCGGGAGGGCGGGGCGTGGGGCGGACGAAACCACCGGGGCGGGGTGGGGAGGTAACGGGACGGGCGCGACCATGGTGCGGTAAGGGAGCGGGGGTGGGGATCGGTCCGGGGGAGGCCTGAGGCCGCTGGCTTGTGCGCTGTCTCCACCGCCCCCCTTTCGCCGCCGCCGCCGCCGCCGCCGCCCCGGGCATGTCGTCTAACTGCACCAGCACCACGGCGGTGGCGGTGGCGCCGCTCAGCGCCAGCAAGACCAAGACCAAGAAGAAGCATTTCGTGTGCCAGAAAGTGAAGCTATTCCGGGCCAGCGAGCCGATCCTCAGCGTCCTGATGTGGGGGGTGAACCACACGGTAACCAGCTCCTCCGCGCCCCTCTGAGCGCGGCCCCGCGCGCTCCCACGCCCCCCGCAGCCCTGGGCCTTTGCCCCGCAGGCCCTGCCGGTGACGCTTGCCACCCCTCGCCAAGCCACTTGCACGCCCACCCCACCCTTGCACGCCGTTCGTCCCCGTGTACACTCCCCGCACTCCACGAGAGGCCTGGTGTCTCTGTGGTCTGCCGTCGCCACCTCCCCTTCCCTCCAGCCCTTCTGGCTTCGTGCGTGTGGCGTGCTCGCTTGGGGCAGCCCAGGAGCGCAAAGGCAAGGCCTGGGTGCAGTGGAGTCGCTTTCATCCCTGCACCTTCTCCTCTTCCCCCCTCACCCTATTTGTTGCATGTATATTTCCTCTTGTTCCTTATAGCCGGCTGCCAGCTCTGTCAAGTAGCAGTGGTCTGCCCAAATAGTCCTCTCTTTCTGATCGTTTGTTGTGGCTGCTCAAATTTTCCTATCCTCCAGGCCTCCTTACCCTTGAATGTAGAACTCCACCCTGGGTTTCCTTTTTTTTTTTCCTCTTGAACAAGATGTATTAACTGGAGAAGCTTAGGCTTCCTTGAAGCAGACACTTTACCCAGGTGTCTCCGGGTTAGGGAGAAGAGAGAATGGCTATTAACCATTTGAGAGAATAGGCTGCCTGGTTATAAGGAGGGACTATTCATAGTAGAAATAATATGACTTCCGTTAGTTTTTGAAGGTGATCATTTCAAAGATGTTGACTTATCTGTTGTGTGGCTGCAAGGGTGTGATGATGCATAGTGATTATGGCACTAGATAGGAGAGATCGGTCCCGTGGGTCCTTAGGGTGCTTTGAGATTGTTCAACAGACCCTGCCAGGAAGTTGGATGCTGACGGTGTTTGAGCTGGAAGACTGTTTATGTGGTGTTTGTTCAGGGTCTTTCTTCTCCCTTTTCCAACCACTTGCTCTTTGCCTTCTGACCATTTCTTTATGAATCCCCACACTAGGAATGAGCAAAGGAAGTAAAAGGACCCGAAACACCGACTTCACTAACTAGAATTTTGGAATAAGGAGGATCAAGCTTGGGTTTCCTGTGCTTTAGGTTCACTTGTGAGTGCTTGAAATTGCTCACAAGACCAAGCGATGACAAAGAGGGCCAGCAAGACTTTACATTGCTTTGGCAGAGGGGCTGAAGGTGCCTTTGGGTGGAGATGGATGAACCGTAATCTGAGCTAGGGTTTTAGATCTTGACCTGTCATTTAGAAAAGTGCACGTGTAAATTGAGGTCTCTGTGGTTTCTTGGTCTTGGGCAGGTTACTGTTTTCACTGTCATCACTGGTGTTAGTGAGGGTCCTGCCAGGATAGGGAGTACCAGTGGTATAATGCCCAGACCTCTAGGAGCTGCTTCGGGCCAACAATCCAGCCCAGTTTGTTACTCGGTCTTCCTGCTGCCCCAGGGGTTATCTGACAGCATTTCTAGGGGAAACTGGGTGATCAGAATATGAACCCCATGTCCCTTTCTGGAAGTCACTCCTTGATTTTGTTCTGCATCCTGCTTCTCACTTTACCAGGCCTCTCTCTGCCAGTTCTGTTTCTCACAGAAAGCAGCCCGTCTGTAGAGAACTGGTAGAGGCCTGAGAGTCAGGAGTATTACAGCTAGCCACAAGGAACCTCGGGTCCCTCATTTTACACATGAAGAAAAGGAGGCCTCGGGTGGAGGATTAGCTTGCCTGTGGTCACAGCAAGAGATGCCACTCATTGTCTAGCACCATGGGACTGTATCAGCCAAGGGTGGTGCCTGAGTGGCTGGTCTTGTTTTCTTTGCCTCCTATTGCTTTTTCTCTCTCTCAGCCAAGTCTCAGGATAAATGGGAAGTTATAGTCTGGTTAGAGAAGGTGAGTGTATGCTCTGGGTTATGTGCCTATGCATGTCACGTCCTGGGAGTGTGTGTGATGCATGGTGTTCCTATAGGCAGGCATGAGTGTCCAGATGTGGGTATGAAGCTTCTCAATAGCTGATGATTAGGTATCTGTGAGTCCTACTCTCTTGGACAAAGTGGTCATCTTTTTTCTTTGCTAACTTTAAGTTGAAAGTTTGTTTGAGGGGCTAGTTGGAAGGGCATTGACTTTAAGCAAGATCTGTGCCACTGGACATAATGAACAGGCACCTCATGGGAACTTCCCACCACTGCCCTGGACAGGCTACGCTTCAGAGGCCAGTTAGTCCTAAGTTTTACTGCTTCATCCTGGTCTGCAGTAAGGTCTAGTACTTCAGTGTCCCCATTTGGAAACTGGAGACATCTGCCTAGAAGAGTGTGTAATCTTGCACTTGTCTAAGGGATCAGGGCCACATTGCCGTCGGTGGACTGGTGCACTTTTTTGGAGATTTCCTCCCTTCAAAAAAAGCCTACTTTGTAACATTTTGTCATCTGAGATTTCAGATACTGCCTTTTCTTTAGTTTCTCACCTGTTTAGACATGCTAGTAGTCTGTGGCTAATGGTGTATCACATAGGAACGATGGATATGTCTTTACAGCAAAAGTTAGTTACCGTTTCATGAGGTGATTGGTTTACTTCTAGGTGGAAAAAGAGAGGACTTTGAACTTGGTGTTATCACAGGAGCTGCTCTCATGGACAAGAGCCCATGGATTTTGTGGAGGAAAAATGTGTAGGAAACAAGGAGAAAAGTCAGAAGACTTTGCACCTGTCAGGGAAGAACTAGTGAAG